ATTTATTAATCTGGAACAACGGAACCAAAGCGCGATTCAGGAGACTACAGCGCCATCTTTTGATCATTGGTGTAGTAGAACCAAAAACCACATCTTTCAAACTCGGCGTCCAGCATTAATTTAGTCAACAAAACCAATAAATGGAAACTCTTCTACAAGATATAAGAGTCTTGAGATATATTTTAGTCCGACGAAAGAAACCATAGTAACACAACAATGACGTTTAGTTGTTTACAAATTTTGTGACGTCATAATCATGGCGGACAGCGTTTTCAGTGTTTAAAAAGTATAGACTAAAAATATTTTTTTCAAATTAGATTACTACAGCCATCTTCTGATTTTATGAAGTGAAATCGATGTATTTAAGTTCCTCGTACCAAAATAAACAAAAACATTTGTTTAGTTTATAAGTAATGGAAAATATGCTTCCCTATTCTAGTGAGTTATGTTATTTTGCAAATTTGTACAAATTAAAAGAAAATACGTAGATTTTGGGACTGAAGTTAGTAGGTTTGCAGAAAAGGCCTAAAATACGTAGATCTACGTAAAAAGACGTAGAGTTGGCAACACTGTGCACCACAACCACAGAGTAACAAGTTTTATGCCGGCCCTTCACTTGACAACAGTTTGTCCTTATCATGCTTAATAAGGAATGAAAAGGACAGACTGATGTCATGTTTTAAAATAGCAAATACGAATAGCCAAGTGAAGTGTCGGAATTAGGAAGAAAGAGTGTTTTGTTTGCAGCGCTGCCATAGATTATACACATAAAATGGTATTTATTGTCTCTGATTATTTTTTAACTTTTTAATTTAGCTTATGTGTGTAAATATATGTTATTGAATGTATTTTAAAATTAAATACTTAGGTTTCATGTAAATTTGTATGTACACTTGTAACTATTTACTCCAAGCCATTTAACATCCCAACCTACAGTCTCTGTATAACTTTTTGTACTCACAGTTGTCTGGAAGAAATCGCTCTTAGCGATAAGACCGCCAATTTAATGCTTTTGTTAAGTTTATTGTTTGTTAATGTTGGAATTATGTATTTGGTGTTATAATAAAGTGTTAATCTATCTATCTAAAGTCAGAAGATTGCTAAAGAAATTTAATTTTAAAAAATTTACTTAGTCTATACTTTTTAAACACTAAAAACGCTATTCGCCACATCTGCCATGATTGTGACGTCTCTTTGGTAGAAAACAGCTAAATGTCATTCATACATAACCTTAAAACTTGTATTATGAAAACTGATAATATATGAAGAAACTTAAAATTTTATTCCATGAGTACTTAGGTACATCAAAGTGATCTTCGCAAAAATAAATTTTACTATGAGGCGATAAAGTTGCAGGATCCCTTTTAGCTAGTTCTAACCAGGTATTGCTTTGGTTAATTTCTTTCGGCACTTTAATTCACAACTTTACTGGAGTCTTCAAGGATGTGTTTTTACATTCTCGTACAATACAATAATGATAACTTACTATATTTTTCGTGGTATTTATTAGAAATCATGTTTTTTTTTTATTATAAACTCATATAGGTTATTTTTTACGTGCTTACGAGTTTTTGACTTTGTTTACTACGGGTACGGCCAGAGTGCACTCCTGATTCAGATTCAGACTCAGAAAACAAAGCACGAGAAAAAGCAGGCAACCTGCTTAGGGTGCGGCCAGAGTGCACTCAGATTCAGATTCAGATTCTGAAAACAAGCGCGAGAAATAAACAGTGTAGTCGAAGGGTACGGCCAGAGTGCACTCCTGATTCAGATTCAGATTCAGACTCAGAAAACAAAGCGCGAGAAAAAGCAGGCAACCTGCTTAGACTACACTGTTTATTTCTCGCGCTTGTTTTCAGAATCTGAATCTGAATCTGAATCTGAGTGCACTCTGGCCGCACCCGTACCCATACCCTACCGGTTGACGTCATAGTATAGATAATATATAGACTAAAATGGCCGATAGCGTTTTTGTATGTCCATGAAAAGTCTATTTTAAAATTAAAGATTTGTAGCTTTCTAGGTCTCAAAAAAATATAATACATTTTTTTTCGGTCTAATAGAACATAATACATTAACCATGTAAAACCTTTTTCCAAAAAGGGTCAACTAGTCTATTTTAATATCAGTCTCTCGTTTTCATTCTGTAAAGAGAATGACAAGGATACACGATACGAGTTGTCAAATTTAAGTTTAGGTTTAGAGAATCATGCCAGACTAATATCAGACGTGCTCAGTCTTTGAATATATTCAAATCAAAACACTTTCAAACACTTTTATCTTCCGCAATGAATCTGATTTTACTGTGTAAATGTTATGTATTTGTATGTGTGTTTGTGCACATTTACACAGTAAAATCAGATTCACTGCGGAAGATAAAAGTGTTTAAGCTGGTCTTTGAATATATTCAAAGACTGAGCACGTCTGATATTAGTAGGCAACGAGTTCCAAAGCCGAACAGCCTGTATAGCAAAGGAATGGTCATAATAGCTAGTGCGGTGAACAGGCATCGTGAGGGTCAGATTTTCTGATGACCTAAGGGAAAGCGATAAGGAATTTTGTTGAAACTTAAAAAGTTCTTTGAGATAGCGCGGGGAAAATGGATTCAACAAAATATTGTAAAGGAGTGCTAGTATGTGTGTATTCCGGCGAATCTTAATGGGAAGCCACTTGAGCTTAGAGCGAAAATTAGAAACGTGATCATATTTGCGCAAGTCAAATATAAATCTGGTACAGAAGTTTTGGAGTCGCTCAAGTTTATTAAGCTGTTCCTCCGTTAAATCCAAATAGCATTTTTTCTTCTTTCTCCGTTTCTTTCTCTGTTAAATCCAAATTTTATGAAGTGAAATCGATATATTTAGGTTCCTTAGACCTAATACTTTAAGAAATAAACATTTATTTAATACAATTTGACATAAGTTAACTAGCCTATTAGTTTTAGGTTATCCTATCCAAAATCAAATCAAATCACCATTGTTAAGACAAGAATACACTGGTATCGATTCTGGCATAATTCCCTAACCCTAAACTTAAATTTGACAACAGTGTATCTTTGTCATTCTCTATACAGAATGAAAAGGAAAGACTGATGTGAAATTTAGTTTTAAGTATAGAGAATCATGCCAGAATCCATATCACTGTATGATTATAACAGTTCTCAATAGCTAGCTATCTATAAGAGAGAAATAAAATGTGCGTGCACACTGCTTTCTCTTACTTATATCCCCCACTCAACTCCTCGCCCGAACATACTTTTCGTAACGCGTAACGCATTCGCCTGCTTACCCCCCAAGTCAAGCGTGCGTAAAGGAGTTCCTCTTCAAAAAGTGAGCGAATAGGCCGGCAGAAACAGGGGCTGTATCCGAAAAGCAAGCTTTTGAGGTGGCTTTTAGGGTAAAGTTTTATGCTCATACAGAGCTGAAATTTGTAAATACAGGAACTGTGACTGCTAAATCGTACATAACTGATATATTCCTGTAGCATGTAGGACCTCACTTGGAATATATTAGGCATTTTTTTTATTTAATAAATGATAATGCACGCCTTCGTACTGAGATATGTTAGAGATTACTTACTAGAAATGGGGATACAAATTCTGGACTGGGCAGCTGCAAGTCTACACCTTAGTTAAAAAGAACATCAAAGGGACGAGCTAAAACTGTGAGTTAAAAGCAACCCAAATCTACCACCAAAAATTGATACATCCATGAATAAGATGGTACCTATGCGCTATCAAAGCCAGAGGGGGCAAAGCAAAAGCTAGTGATGTTACGGTCTTGAATTTTGACAAACCGGATTTGATCGGTTAGTAATACTAGCAAATCGGTTTCCGAACCGAACCGCCAAATTTTCAGTAAACCGCGGTTTGAACCGGTTTGAACCGTTTGACGAGTTGACGAATGAAACTTACGAAACAACAGGTGCTATTTTTTTTAATTCTACATATTTTGTTGATATTACATCGTGCAAATATTTAAAGGTAATTGAAAAATAACAATTAAAATATGAAAACAAATATTAATAATCAGAATTAAAAATGTCAAAATAAAAATAAACAAATATCTATGTAATACCGTGTTTAAAAAATTACAAAAAAATATATAAACTCTATTAATTACATAAAACCGTACTTCTTAACTTTGAGAATAAAATACAATTTTAATAATCAACAATATAATAAATACGTAACTTATTTTTGTAAAATCATTTGAGTCGTAGAAACTTAATTTGGTACAAACAACCTAATTAAAAAGTTTTCTTACAACTATTTAGGAATAATATTTGGTCTATTTTATTAGAAGCTGGGCAATTACGTTGCATATTACATAATAATGAAAACAAAATTACACCGTCAAGTCAGTCAAATCTACCAGAGCCCGTTTCATTTCGGTTCGGTCGGTAAGTCGGTTATGGCTGTTGTATTTAAATTGACGATGCGCGCTAACTGTATCCGCTGCTGTAAGTCGGTTCGTATTGGTCGGTCAAGTTTTATTAGTGTCGGTAAAGCACGTCAGGAGCCGCACGCGATTTGTGGATGGCGGCATAAACAAGAATTGACAGGCGCTGACTGCGCATGCGCATTTACGAAGACGTTAACCGATTCAACTCGGTCCATGCTCAAACCGGTTTGAACCGGTTTGAAAAGTCGAGTCGTTACATCTCTAAGCAAAACCATTTCAACATTCTATCAGTGTGGAGTTATGTTGCAAAATTTTCCGCTCTTTTATTTTTCTTGTGTATTGCTAAGAAAATAATGTTTGTTTATTTAGAAAATCCATTATTTAATTTATTAATTGATAAACAATCCATAAAAAATAGTTGTAACCGTATATTTTTTCAAACACAATCAATACGGCCGGCTACTACTCGTTTAATAGGTGTCGTAATTTTTTTGGCCACCAGGTTGTAATATATTTTTTTTTGACTAATAATTCACTTTTACATCACTATTGTATGTCAGTGTCAAAACGACTATGATAACGTGCCGCGACGCGATTAAAGTCGTTTTGTTCAATTTCGTACATAATTCTTTCTAGATTAATGAAAATGATGAAATATAGTAAAATACACTGTTAAATGTTGTACTTTGCCTAAGTAATAAGAACTGTACACAAACGACCGTAGTGGTAGGTATCTTATCTTTATCTATTTTTACATTATTTGTGTTGGGATTTAATACGTAAGAATGATATCAGATTGATTTTCAGTGTAAACGATTTCCTATACAAAATGAGTTTGGAATCTATAAGATACAAAAGAGGTAGCTTAGAAATTTTGGATCAGCTGCTACTACCTCTTCAAACGAGATACGTTAAGGTACAAGGCGTCGAAGATGGGTGGAAAGTTATTAACAAAATGCAGGTAATTTCGGATAAACTGGCATACTTATATCCTATTAATGTACAAGAGTTAAAATACAAAGCTGGCTATGTGGTTGTATTTTTTTGAACATTTATATATAGCAACCTATGTCAATCGCCTCAGCCATGCTAATTATCGTTAATTACCTATTAGGTAAGAGGTGCCCCTGCTATAGCCATAGTAGGGTGCTTATCATTGGCTGTGGAATTACTCAAGGAAGAAGTAGAAGATAAGAAGGTCATGAGGCAAGAGGTCAGTAGCTTTGGGTTATTTTGACAAATAAGTTGTATTTTGTAAGAATTTTCTTATTAAGTATGATACATTGGAGGCTTCTGTTTCTGTTGCAGATTGAAGGCAAACTAAATTATTTAGTATCAGCAAGGCCAACAGCTGTAAACATAAAATTGGCAGCTGATGAACTGATAAATTTAGCAAATACTTTAAGTGCAGATGAAAATGTCTCTCCTAGTCAGTTCAAAGACAGGTGTGTTTCTGTATTCAATAAGCCAAAATCCGGTGGCATTATTTTCCCATCATTCATAGTCTTCATATTGTTGCAGATTTATTTCAAGCATAGAAGGAATGCTAAATAAAGATATCGAGGATAATAGGGCAATTGGAAAATTTGGTTGTGAAGCAATATTAAATACTTTAAAAGGAGATGGCCTAGTTCGGGTGTTAACTCACTGTAATACAGGATCTCTAGCAACAGCTGGCTATGGAACAGCTTTAGGTGTCATTAGATATTTGCATGAATCAAAGAAACTTGGTAAGCAAAGAAATAGTTTAATTTGTTTTTTTTGTAGGCAATATTTAAAGAGGGACTCTTTCTTTAGTAAAACTGTACTTTAATGAACCACAATTTTAGGGATTTTGGGGGTTGAGCAGAGAGGTGGGATTCCCCTTTTATTCAAACCCCCACCAAAGCAAATGCGTATTTTAAGGCCTCTTGTTCACACACTTTGTGGTGTGAAAATTTACAATTAATTTGCTGTGCATAGGTGTGGTTGTCAGTGTTGTATGGATCACTGTGGGAGCTTGTTGAAGTATGCGGCGGCGCTATGGCACGAATTGATCGAAAAGATCAAAGAAGTCTTTAATACCTGTATCATACCTTGCCTGACATATGGATGCAAAACATAGTCACTATCAAAACAATAATGAGATAGACTTGAATACTGTCAAAGAGGCATAGAGAGGTGTTGTGTTATTGCTTATTAAAGACTACATCATCGACATCTATACAAAATTATAAGTGTTAGTCAGTGCCTAACTATTGTACAAAAGACATAATTATTATCAATACTCTATTACGAGGAGTAAAAAAAAGGAGAAATGCAGAAACAATGATCTCCAGCAGAAGACCAAAGTAACAGACATCCTGACACAAATAGACCAACAATAAGGAGATGGATGGGCCACATGATGAACAGCCAAACAGAAAAATGGAGTAGTTGTTACCCACTGCACCCCAGAGATGGAAAAAGAAGCAGGAACTGGCAAGTTTCTAAATGGGCAGACAAGCTCATATAGATGGTGGGAGTTCACTGGAGAAGAATAGCCCAAAATAGATCTGAATGGAGAAGATTAAAAACAGTGTATCTTCAAAGAACATCAACTAGATATTCTGTAGTAGCTGGGAGAGAGTACCTTGTGTCACATACACACTGCATGTAGTAACTATTAAGTAATCTGTGACGCTGCCTTCATTACGCAATTGTTAAGTAAATTTTTACTCATTGTTAAAAATACTGGTAGATTTAATAAAGGCTTTTTATTTAATTACTATCAAAAAAACCTTACACTATGCAATTAGACCTAGGAAAAGATTCAAGATTTTATTCAAGAAAGATGTTTTGAAAACATTTCCAAAGATTCTAATTAGTTCCTACTTTAAGGTAATATAAATAACAGATAAATAAAGGTCAAAATATTTATTTATTTTTCTTGAAATCATACACATAGAGAATAGCTTTTAAAAGTTCTTCAAAGGGATCTCTATGATTTACTTTTATATTTCTCCTCCAAGTATACTCTGCTAACCAATCCCCAAAATCTGCTTTTATAAGTTGCTGCCTGAATTCATTTTTTAGGACTCTCCACTGACTATGTATTCTTTGGGTGTGAGTCCCGTCTGGTGCCACAAATTTATTATTTGGAACATTGTGATTCACCATCTTGTGTATATAACCATGTTCAGGGAGGCATTTATAGGCTTCCCAACAACTACTGTGTATGATAGAGCCTTCTTGAACATGTTTTTTGATAAGTGGCACCAATACTTCAGCAGTTCGTTCATTATTAGGACATACTTCTAGCCTTAAGTCTTCACTACCATCTTCAATCATACCAATCACCCATTGCCCATCTATATGCTTCCCTTTTTTGTACTTTCTTCTGCTTAACTGTGACTCTTCAATTTGTACAATTCTGTTTGGCCCACCTATTTTTGATTCATGAGTAAAATGTTCCATAATATAAATAACTACAGTCTCTCGGCAATAACAATACCAATCTATAATAGTTTTATTTGACAAAACTGGTTTATTTTCTTCTGTCAGTTGCTTTTGCACCCATGCATAAGACTCACCCTCACTATATGCATACATTAAATGAAAAACGGTGGTAAGGGGCAAATGTGTATTTTCAAACCAGGTCCCTTGGGTTTGCCTATACTTTTTGTCTCTGCATTTCCCTTTCCTGCATCTGAATACTCCGAATTGTGAAGCTTCAGAGTTTTTTGACATAGGTTTATGGTGATGGGTACAGATTTTTTCTTTTGGGACCATCCCCCTTTCTTCAGCAAACTGAACACATTGCTCTTTAGTCCCTAGACGCATGAAAATTTTTTTCCATGTCCACATTGATCTAAAACAAATAGAAATACAAATTAGAGGGACTCTTTAATCTTCAAAAAACCTAATTCAATTAGACTAATACACTTAGTTTCCCTTGACAAATGAAAGACTTTCAAGATGTCTGTGGTGTTGGGAGAACAACAGGCTCTCATATGAAACTAGTAAATTATTTAAATAGAATTTCAGTCCTGTCTAGCCAAAGAGGGCTGGAGCAGCACCCTCTACACGCCTTCAGGTCTAAAAACACTACCTGAAGCAGTCTAGTCATTTACATGGTCTGACCCCATGTTTGACTAAGATTATTTACAATATTGACTGTCTGTACTAACCTGATTTCATCTGATGAGTACCATATTCGTCTTCCGGATGACCCAGAAGGTCCTGGTTGTTTTTGCTCTGCTCCATTAAATTCAAAGGAAGAGACTGGCATAACAAGGTTAGCCATACTGCTAGCCGATTCATTGTCTGATGAAGCAGCTAACCCATTTCGGTCAGCAATCGGTCTTGCTGTCGAGAGCGCATGTGGATCACTAGAAGGCAACTCTTGCACTCGCCCACTTGGGCCAGCAACCGGTTCTTCCGACGAGGACGACGTGAGCGCAAGTGGATCATTAGAGTCCAACACTTGCACTCGCGTAAAATTATTGACAAGCGGCTCATTAGAGTCTATCACCAGCGGTTTATTTGTGTCCAAAACTTGCACTTCACACAATTCTTCAGGCAAACAAGCTACATCCGTACACTGAGACTCTGAAAGCACCGTGGTAGTCACAATGTTATCTAACATTATAGAAATATGTGAAAGGATCTCAATTGCATGAAGATCAATATTTCTATTGTAATGGCAAAGTGCAAGAAAAGAATATAACAAAAACAAACAATGAGTGTAAGTGACACAGTGACTGACAGTACTGTATTGATTATTCTATGATATTGATCATGAATCAGTCAGTTCTATAATGATTGATAATTAAGTAACAATATTGACTGATTGGATTGATATGATGATTTTTTTAACGTTCTCCTTTTTTTAGGGAAGGCAAAGGGAACGATGGCCATACAGCATAGTCTTCAGTTTTCTTTGTTCTTTTTTTTAAATTAGAATGTGGCGCATTCTAATGTTTCTTGGAGTGTTAGGCACGAAATGTATCAAGTCAGCTTTCACGATAAGCTTCTGTGAGGTAGTCAACACTAGAATAAAGTTCTCGCGTCTACTTGACCGGAATAGCGTATATTTTAAAGATTCCACTTATTCTTCAGTTGTGCAGACGGTTGTAACACAAAATCACACCAATTTTATTCCACAATATCAAAACTTCAATATTTTAGACTTTTTGATTATTATCAAAACTCCAAAAAATTAGGAACTATTATTATGACATGATTCTCTAAACTTAAAACTAAATTTAACACCAGTTTCTTCTTTTCATTCTGTATAAAGAATGATAAGGAAAGGAATGAATGCTATGAGGATGATAAAGAAAGTATGAAGAAGACGGTTCAAAGTGGTAGTTGGTGTCTAGCAGCAATGAAACATATAACATTTGGAAGCTTGTTTTATGTAATAACATGAACAGATAGTTATAATATTTTTATATTAACCTCCGATAAATTTTAAATCGTGTTTGAAAATTTAACAATTTAGTAAGGATGCTAGCCACTTTGCTATAATAATTAACGTAATATTTTTAGTCTGTAGCAGCTTTATAACACGGACCTGAAAAAAAGACATAGGGTACGGGTGCGGCCAGAGTGCACTCAGATTCAGATTCAGATTTCGAAAACAAGCGCGAGAAATAAACAGTGTAGTCGAAGGGTACGGCCAGAGTGCATTCCTGATTCAGATTCAGATTCAGATTCAGAAAACAAAGCGCGAGAAAAAGCAGGCAACCTGCTTAGACTACACTGTTTATTTCTCGCGCTTGTTTTCGGAATCTGAATCTGAATCTGAGTGCACTCTGGCCACACCCGTACCCTACGGCCAGAGTGCACTCAGATTCAGATTCAGACTCAGAAAACAAGCGCGAGAAATAAACAGTGTAGTTAAAGCAGTGTGGCCATAGTGGCAGCAGGCAACCTGCTTAAACTACACTGTATATTTCTCGCGCTTGTTTTCTGAGTCTGAATCTGAATCTGAGTGCACTCTGGCCGTACCCATGCGTAACCTTGACATAGAGTGCGCGCCAGATAAGTCTGCGCGTGACTGGTGGCGTGACTAATGTTGCCAGTTATGGGAAATAAATTTCCGATCACAGACATGAAATAGGAGAAGAGGGAAAATCTGATGAGGTTAATAAAAAACGTCTCATTAGTTTATATAAATTTAATTCTTATTTTATGGTAAATTAGAGTTGAGGGGGATGATGAGGTTAAATACATTGGCTACTAATGGCATCAGGTTTGTCATGTTTCATTGAAATAGAATAAATATGGTTTTCTAGAGCAAACATTCTAATTGCTCACAGTTTTAACAAACATGTTGTTTTCATAGTATATTATTGTTCGAACAAAAGCTAACTAGCTAAGTGAACTACAAATAAAAAAATGGGTGCGTGTACTTATGTAGGCGCGTGAGAAGTTATCCTTCTTTCGCATCGTTTAAAATTAGTTTTTAATTGCATGCAAATAATTAATTACAATAAATTAATAAAAAGTCTGGAAAAGGACACAGAAGACAAAAGGAAACTAGAAACATGTGGATAAATATTTTAAACATGAATACCTATATTTGTTACTTTATTACAAAAAATAAAGATGTGGTTTTTGGTTCTACTACACCAATGGTCAAGAGATGGCGCTGTAGTCTCCTGAATCGCGCTTTGGTTCCGTTGTTCCAGATTAATAAATACTTTTTGTTACTTTATTACAAAAAATAAAGATGTGGTTTTTGGTTCTACTACACCAATGGTCA